AATGTTTAGTTGGTGATAAATCATGATGTTGAAAACCAGGTATCGGCCAGCCCTAGGAAATAATGTCATTGTTTTCATCTGTTTTCATTGCTGTCTTTTGGACTATCTGAAAACAGACTTTTGAGTGCTGGTGGTGGTCTTTGGAAAACATGATTGTACTGCTCTCCAGTTGTACTGGAGACATAATTGTAATGCAGCCAATAAGACTTGGATGGAGGCACCATTTCCCATAGTGTACACCAGTAGTTTCCAACCCCATTTTTGGTTGAAGAACCCTGCAATGTGTTGTTACATCCAGCAGAAACCCACCCTCTCTCTTTGCCTCTAAAGTTGTTTTTTTTTAAAAAAAAAATCACAGCTAAAACTGGTAATATGTAATTTATTTAAAAATATAAGATTGTAAAATTCAGTGGACACTCTCCCACCTCGCCTAGCAAATCCTCAGAGAATTCTGGTTGAAAAATATAAGTGTGCATGCACAGGTACTTTTGCTTCTCATCAAACAGGCATTGCTGGTTTAAAGTGCCAGGGGAAAAAAGAAACATATTCCATTCAATGGAGATGAAAGTGAAATGAGCGTCTACTCAGCAATCAGTCTTCAGCTCTTTGGGAAAAAAGAACATGTCTTCTATCTAGAAAACTTCATGCTGATGTGCACATTTATATACAGTTTTGGGCACAGTGTTCAAGGCAAAATGTTTGCAAAATATAGACATAGTCTATTTATATACTGCATTTCCCACAGATTTGTGCTGAAAGTAGTTTACAAAAAAGATAAGCTTAGATACAGTAATGCATGCATGGCCGCTGACTTGCGATGTCTCTCAAACAGGATTATCATTAGCCACATTTGTGAAGGATGGATCTGTCAGTGGGAATTAGATATGAGAGTAATAGGAAAACTCGTGCAGCTGGCTGAAGAGCTTTTTGCTGAAGTGTGGTGTGCTTCACAAGCGGAACCTATGCAGTCAGAAGTAAGTGCCACTGACTGCTTATGACGGCTTGCAGTGACGCTGATCCTAATAAATTGGGTATTATTCTATGCACTTCTGGTTCCTCCCTTCCTGTGTGTACATGCACAGCTGCTGACATTTTGGGCTCTCCTTCAGGGCATGGCTATGGGAGCTGTCACAACTTCCTCTTGCACTTCAAAATTTACCACTACACCACTGTATCTGGCTGGCTAATGTTGGAAACAGATTCCTAGGCTTGGAATGAGATCCTTTAGGATTAACTATGAGAATTATTGGGACGTGGGTGGCACTGTGGGTTAAACCACAGAGCCTAGGACTTGCCGATCAGAAGGTCGACAGTTTGAATCCCTGCGACGGGGTGAGCTCCCGTTGCTCGGTCATTGCTCCTGTCAACCTAGCAGTTCGAAAGCATGTCAAAGTGCAAGTAGATAAATAGGTACCGCTCCAGCGGGAAGGTAAACAGCGTTTCCGTGCGCTGCTCTGGTTTGCCAGAAGCGGCTTAGTCATGCTGGCCACATGACCCAGAAGCTGTACGCCGGCTCCCTCGGCCAATAAAGCGAGATGAGTGCCGCAACACCAGAGTCGGTCACGACTGGACCTAATGGTCAGGGGTCCCTTTACCTTTATGAGAATTATTACATTTCTAGAAATACAAGCCAAATCACATAAGGAAAGCTTGCAGGACAAACAAGGAGCCAAGCTAGATAGGACACTGGAGATCTGAGACTGAAGATCTCATGGCGAGGAAATTGCACCGAAAAAGTGTGGGATGAACTCACGATTAACGGAAAGATGTGTAAACACTCAGCAAGCAAATCAGGATCAACGCTCATGGTCACATAGCCACCTTGTAAACAAATTGGAATGAATGCTCAGGGAGGAAAAATGAGACACAGTCTGACTTTGTGCAAGCAAAATAAGCTGAATAAACATGTCATCTGCGGGAGCCCTTAAACCACAGAGAGGCAGATGTAAACACTGGAAGCCTGTTCTGCTTTGCATCACTGAAGACTTAGAACTTACTGTTGGGGGCGGAGAAGCTGCAAGTCTCAGGTTGCTGATTTTTGTGTGTGCCAAAGACCAGTATCTACATGGGAAGGTGCAATTGCATAATATTTTCAATAATATTTAGGGAGAAGGCTGAATGAATTGGCCTTTGCTCTTCCCCTCCCACCTGGTAAATAAAACCTTATAGGCATACACTAAATGGTTAAGGAGTTGTCCAAGGTTCTAAAAATACAGCCTCCTTGGGCTACCAAGAATTACTCTCCATAACTTTCCCCTTAAAAGTGTGTGTTGGTGTCCCCGAGAGAGTCTCCCCTCCCTTATCTACTTGTGCCCTGTCTATAAACCAGACCCGTTTCAGATTTATTTGTGCCATTCTGAATTCTCGCTAGCATTTGTCACTGCCATGCACCTGCTCCACCTTTTCCGCTTTATCCCCCCCCCCCTTTTGCGGCATTGTGTTTTATGGCATTATTAAGATTTAAAATAGAAAAAAGACCCCGGGTTATGGACTGTATTACGAGAGCTATAAAACTGACCTCAGGGGATTATAAATGAGGTGGCGAGCCTCTCTTCCTGACAGCTTGCTTACTGTTTTCAGATTTACTGTCAACCCAACGTGGTTTGGGAGTTGTAATTCCTACAACTGGCCTGTTGTTCAATGGGAGTGTGTGTTTAAAGTTAGTTGTAGCTAGAGAGCAAGAAAGGAGTGAATTATCCACTGTAGCAGAGAGCTTGGAAGGAAGAAACCAATTCTGATTGTGCAGATAAAACATAACTGAATAGCGTTCTACAGGATATGTTGCTAGTGTGTGAAAACAGTCCAGATCCAAGGATCCTCAGGTATGTACCTCCAAATGGTGGAAATGTCAGGCGCCATCTTGGCTCCCAGGCATCTATCTTCACTTGGTCGCAAGTGGCCGATAACAAAGTGCAAAATGCACCTGGCGAAGTTCGAACACTGCATCTATCCCCCACCCTAGTTTATACAGTGGTACCTCAGGTTACATATGCTTCAGGTTACATAACGCTTCAGGTTACAGACTCCGCTAACCCAGAAATAGTACCTTAGGTTAAGAACTTTGCTTCAGGATGAAAACAGAAATCGTGCTCCGGCGGCGGGGCAGCAGCGGGAGGCCGCATTAGCTAAAGTGGTGCTTCAGGTTAAGAACAGTTTTAGGTTAAGAATGGACCTCCGGAACGAATTAAGTACTTAACCTGAGGTACCACTGTAATGAAAAGACATATATCATATGTATCATATATCAGGCATTCAGCTCATTAATATTGTTTCATATATTTCAGGGCTTCCATTCTAGTGCTGAACAAACTTACAGGGCTAAGCCTCATTGTAGTGTAACACAAAAACTCTGTACTGTAGAGTGTTTCTGTCCAGTGTTCCAGTTAACCAGCCATGCCACTTACAGGACACTCCATTCCAGTCCTCCTCCCACCCAATTTCCCATCCTTTATCAATAGTCTGTCAGCTTTCCCTGCCCAGTGAGCACACTCGATCCTCATTCATCTGCTTCAGGGGTTCTCCCCCTTAGGATATTATTTTCTAAAGATTTTTTGAACTTCTCCAAGTCCATACTCATCTCTTCCCCATTCCCAAAATTGTATTTTATAGGATTTTTTAAATTGCACAGCAAAAAAAACCCACAAAACCTACTCTGGGGTAATACAGACAAAATTTGTACACACACTATGTATTTGACCTGTAACGCAAATATTGTAGCAAAGAAAAGTTAAGGAGAACCTAAGGTTGACTTTGTGGTCCACACTCACCTCTGAACTTCAGAAATGGAGTGAAAAAGTATTGGCTGTGCAAAATGAGATGCTGGATATAATCTCCCTTGGACTTTAAGATCTTATATTGAAACTCCCTCAAACTTTGTGATCTCCCTTGAACTTTAAGCTCTTACACTGAAACTTGGTATGCATGTTCATGACACAATTCTGCATTCAAAGTTTGAAGGCTGGCCTGATCTGTGGGACTGTTTTTAAGGGAGTGGCAGGAAATATATATTCATTGCAGGCCCGTGTAAACTGTTCCTCTTGAAGAAATGACAAGGCTTCCCAGCTGGAAAGTCAGATAGAAAAGAACCCAATCAAACAACAAACAATGAAATATAATTTTGTGCGCGTGTTGTTGAGGGGGTATAACAGCAGATAGCTCAACCTTATTATGAAGTGATGCCTCTTCAACTATGTGATTTACCTGTCTGTTAGGCTGGGGAAATGGGAGACAAATACCTGAGCATGTTCAGATGCTTGGGTAAAAGGGAGCAGTGTTTTCCAGAGGCTTAGCACTTGGCAAAGTCACATAAAAGTGCAGAGTGAATATCGCAGGCTTGGTATCATGTTGCATTTTGTTTGTGTTGGGGTGAGAAATGGCTCTCTGCGCTTACACTTTTCCCTGCCGTGGTCCAAGCAGCCCTTGCTTGGAAGTAGGGGTGCTTGAAAAGGTATTAATGCAAAGTGCTTTTTTGAGTTGGCCCGGAGTGTGACTTCTGACCTTCTTTTATTTCAAAGAGATTTAGACATCTGTCAAGGATCTCTTGCCATCCATCATCCACATCCAGTGTCCCTTTTCCTCCTTCTCTCTCTCTCTCTCTCTCTCTCTCTCTCTCTCTCTCTCTCCAACCCCCTCCCCCTCACATTGCTGCTTGTTCTGACAGCTGCTGCTGGAAGATCTTCCTTTTTTATTTTAAAACCCAGGCCACTTAAGGTCTTGTTAGGGGACAGAAGTTTGTCTGCTTTAACTGAGGATTTAAAAAGAAGAAAGAAACTTGCCTAAAGCATCTTGGCTGCCGTAGGCTCCTGCTCGGGAATGCAGTGAAGCAGTCGTAAAAAGTGCGGCTGTAAGCGAACCATGTGCAAAGTGATTTGCCCTAACCACTAAGCAACCGCAATATCTATCTACACAGATGGGTGTAGCTTATCTTTCATAGAATCATAAAGATCATAGAGTTGGAAGGAATCTTGAAAATAACCCCCTACGATGCAGGAATATCCAGCTGCCCCTTACAGGGATCAAACCTGCAACCTTGCCATTACCAGCACTACACTCTAACCAACTGAACTATCTGACTTGGTCATAGCGTAGCTTCCAAGAAGCCTTGAGTCTCAGTATTGGACCTCTAGAGCTGCTTACTGTGACCTCACAGTTAAATTGCATTTCTTGTTCCTTTGTTTATCTTTCCATGGCTACGTAGGCAAGGGTCAGTTTGCCCTGCTGTGTATTCTGTGTACTTCACAAATTCCCAAATTGGAGGCTGACACTGGAAATATGGTCCAGGGCTGAGCCCCGCTTGAGGTTCAGTCTCAAATTATACATGACATTAATCACATGCCATTGTTCCCTGACATATTATTTTCATATCTCAAAAAGCAGACACAGGTATCATTTCCCTGTGGACCAAATGCATCTCGGGGGGGGAGTCTGTTCAGAGGAGAAAAATGGACAGAGAGAAAAGGGTCAAGATGCACTGGACATCGGCTGGAGACTGCAGTATGGGCAGTTGCTTTAGAAAATGACATACAGTCGTACCTTGGATCCCAAACGCCTTGCAAGTCGAACGTTTTGGCTCCCAAACACCGCAAACCAAGAAGTGAGTGTTCCGGTTTGCGTTCTTTGGAACCCAAACTTCCAATGCAACTTCCACAGCTTCTGATTGGCTGCAGGAGCTTTCTGCAGCCAATCGGAAGCCGCACATTGTTTTCTGAATGTTTTGGAAGTCGAACAGACTTCTGGAACGGATTCCGTTTGACTTCCGAGGTACCACTGTATGTGTATGTGTGTGTGGTTAATATTATATACAGTTCAAGGACATACAGTTGTGTATGCATGTGTGTATGGTTAATACATACAGTTTAAATCTAAGACACAGAGATGGTACTTCTAAAATTGCACAAGCCTTGCAATGATGAGAAGCTCTCCTCCTAAACCCATTGGCAAGACTCAATTTGTGGGCAAATCTCTTCCAGTCAGTTGTCCCACAGAAAAAGTTTGCTGGAATGAGTGGCTGTGTACACACAATACATTTAAAGCATATTTCATGGCCCTCCCCCCCAATCCTCGGATCTGTAGTTTGTTAATGGTGCAGGAAATTATAACTTTGTGGGGGATAACCTACAGTTCCCAGGATTATTTCAGGGAGGACGTGTGCTTTAAATCATAGTATGTATGCACACAGCGCCTGGTTTTCCTTCAGAGTGTTATGCGAGGCACATACAAGGCAATGTAGCTCCGGAGAATGACTAATACCATGGTAATTATCACACCTAGAGTCCTCGTTATTAATTCTGTTCATCTGTTTGGGGAGAATGGCAGATTGCTGAATTGCACTGCCTAATATTCCAGGAGGGACAAATGGGCACCGGAGAGATTAAGTGAATGAGATGAGCACATCCACAATATTTAATGGTTATTTAAAACTCTGTAACTGGAGCTGTGATGGTGGGCCAAGCTAATTTGAGTGGCCGTGTATCCTTTTTTTAGAGAGCAGTGGCCTTTTGAAAGTATTTTGTCCAGATAACTTTCCAATTTTAATTTCTGCCAATATTAAAAATAACCTGGTCACCTGTGGGAAAGCAGTTAATGAAATATAGCCACCGGAAACTCAGTAGCACACCATAGTGCATCTGGGTCAGAGGTCGTGTGAGACTTTGGCAGGGTGCAAGAGCTTGCTGGTGTACCTTGAGTCTTGAAGCCCGTATACAGATTTAACCTGTTCAACACAGTTTTAACCAGTGCTGAATCTATTCCCATATTACTTTCCCCCACAAATTTCACTAGTGTCATAAAGTCTCATAGAAATCAATCATGCTATTTGCTTGCTTTAAACTCCTGCGCCATCTCATAGACCTCAGAAACATCATTGCCGCATCCTCTTCATATAATTGTATTATTATTATTATTATTATTATTATCAATGATTCAGTTTTATACATTTTAATAATTATACAATCATTTTAACATTTTGAAACTCGACTTCCTACCCCCTCTTTCTGCTGTTCCTTAAATTTTTTTTATATTTTCTGCGTATTCGGAATTAACTTAATTTACTCATTTATTCATCCACTTTAAATATATACTCTTATAAAACTGCAGGTTATTGCAATAATCCTGCCAATGCTTTTATCTGTTTACAATTGGTTTGTAAATATTCAATAAGCCATTTCCATTATTTTATAAAAAGTTTGTTATCTTGATTTCTTATTCTTTGATTTCTTATTCTTCCAGTAAGTTTTGCCATTTCTGCATATTCCATAAGTTTTTGTATCCGTTCTTCTTTCGCTGGGACTTCTTCTTTCCATTTTGGGGCAAGTAACATTCTTGCTGCTGTAGTGAATAAATTTCTATACAGTTGGGGTAGTTCTGTCCTTGTAATTCCCAAAAGAAGGTTTCTAGTTTTTTTTACAAACATTATTTTAAATATCTTTTTCAATTCATCATATATCATTTCCCAGTAAGCTTTAACCTTACTACAAGACTACCACATATGATAAAAAGAACCTTCTTTCTCTTTACATTTCCAACACTTCATATAATTGTAGAATTGTAGAGTTAGAAGTGGCCCTGGGGGTCATCTAGGCCAAACCCATTCAATGCAGGGATCTCAACTAAAGCATGTATAACAGAAGACCATCTAACCTCTGCTTAAAAACCTTCAATGAAGGAGAGTCCACTACCTTTCAAGGGAGTCCGTTCCACTGTCAAACAGCTCTTACAGCCAGAAAGTTCTTCCTGATGTTTAGTCAGAATCCCCTTTCTTGTAACTTGAAGCCATTGGTTCGGATCCTACCCTGCGGAGCAGGAGAACACAAGCTTGCTCCCTCTTCTATGTGACGGCCCTTAAGATATTTGAAGGTGGCTATCATATCTCCTCTCAGTCTCCTCTTATCCAGGCTAAACATTCCCAACTCCCTCAACTGTTCCTCATAAGGCTTGGTTTCCAGACCCTTCATCATCTTGGTTGCCCTCCTCTGCACATGTTCCAGGCTGTCAGCATCCCACATGATGTTCTGCTGCGCACCTGCTCTCAGCTTGTGGCACCCCATGGTGCGGATGTTATAGGACATTCTGTGAGAAGGTCATGGATCAGCATTCCTATTTTGGGGCAGTCTGCATGCTCCCAGGGTGTGAGGTTCAGCTGGAATTGTTGTATTTGTGGGAGTCTGCACTCCGTGATCCCAGCAATACACGTAAATAACATTTAAAAGACGTCTCTCTCAAAGAATCCTGGGAACTGTGGTTTAGGTGTGCTGGCAATTGCAACTCTGTGCCTAGGATTCTTTGATGGGAGGGCATTGCTTTAAATCATGGGTAGGCAAACTAAGGCCCAATCGCCTTCTAAATCCAGCCTGCGGACGGTCCAGGAATCAGCGTGTTTTTACATGAGTAGAATGTGTGCTTTTATTTAAAATGCATCTCTGGGTTATTTGTGGGCCTGCCTGATGTTTTTACATGAGTAGAAGGTGTGCTTTTATTTAAAATGCATCTCTGAGTTATTTGTGGGGCATAGGAATCCATTCATATTTCCCCCCCCAAAATATAGTCTGGCCCCCCACAAGGTAGGAGGGACAGTTGACCGGCCCCCTGCTGAAAAAGTTTGCTGACCCCTCTGCATAGTGTGTAGGCAGATCCTCAGTTATGGGCATGGGAGGTACAGGATTTTTGTTGGGGGGAGGGGCAAAATGTTGTTAAGCTTTTTTTGGGAGATCTTCAAAAAAAAGTTGAGTCTCCCTGAGCTGCAAAAAGGTAAAGGACCCCTGGACGGTTAAGTCCAGTCAAAGGCGACGATGAGGTTGCGGCGTTCATCTTACTTTCAGGCTGAGGTAGCCGGCGTTTGTCCACAGACAGCTTTCCGGGTCATGTAGCCAGCATCCCACCCTCTAATTCCAAACTGGTTTCAGTAACCAGATGCTGTGTGGCAGAGTGGCACTATTGAATTCTGCTTTCCAACAAAATTCCACTAAGCAAAATCATCCGGTTCCACCCAGTTGTTAATTTGTTCAGTGTTAGTCCTGGGCTTCCTGCCGTATAATGTATGGAACAGACTTTAGTTTGAAGAGGAATCAGGGAAAAGATCAGTATTATTTTTAAATATTTATTGTTTATTACAGGGGTTCCCAAACTGGTTTGTGGGCCACCAGTGGCCCTCAAGCTTCATTCAGCTGGTCCATGGCCTACCTGTGGATTTGTGTTTGAAGACAGGAGATGGCACATCCATCGCAATAACTGTTGATTGTATTTTTATTTCTTCTTTTATTTATTGTATTTTATTGTCTTATGGGATGCAAATTTTAATACAATGAATACAATATATAAGAAATAAACGAAGCAATAAAAATGCAATTAAAGCTCATACAGCATCTAGCACAGAACGTTAGAATTGCTACAACAGGCAGAAAAATAGTTACACGGTCCGCAAATAGCCTTAGCGGTTTTCAGGTTGGGGGGGGGTAGTTTGGAAACCACTTAAATCTTATATTTGTTCCTCACTTTCTACGTCTCAAAGGGAACTTACAGAACATTTTACAATGTAAAATATGAAATACCATCAAATAAATATGAAATAAAACATAAAAGTATGAAAACTGTTTAACAACAAGAATAAAATGGGCGAGTCCTATGATCATTCCTGCCTTCTATTTTCAGTCATGATCCACTGACGGCACAATACAAATAATACTTAGCGTTTATATGGTACATTTAAAGGCTTTTTAAGGCTGTTTGCATAATTGTAGTACTTCTTAGAGCACTCTTGTAAGGTGGGCAACTTCTGTCTTCGTATTTCAAATGGGAGGGGCAGTGGTGGGATTAGAACCGGTTCTCAGGTCCTGTTTGTTACCATTATGCTTCACTGGCTCTCAACATGAAACTTCCTGTGCGTTTCAGGGTGCTTCAGCCACATGCCTTTGCTGATTTGCTATTCCTCTAGACAAGCGTGAACTCCCTTCTAGAGATAATCTCGCCTTGCAATTGTTTTGCATTGTCACATACTGTGGAATGAAAGAGGAGTAACTTTCTCTTTCCTCGTGCATCGCTAAAACCTCTGAATTGCCCTTTGAACACATCCAGGAACC